GTAGAATTGTCAAAGAAGAGGGACAATGGACAAGACTGTGAAATTTTCAGACAAAAAAACGATCATCCTTATTCCCTATGAAGATCGGAAGGGAGAATGGATGACCATGGCTTTGGACAGATATCGATTTAAAAGAAGAATAAATCATGCATCAAAAATTTTAAGTCCTATACTGGAGAAACATTTACAAATAATAAGTCAATCTCATGCACAAAACCTGGACACCCATAAAGATCTGTAATGCCAAAATATACAGCCAGCGTATTTTACAGTCATCAAATTTCTACAGTCAGTCTAGAGAAAAGTCACATTCTAAGGGGAGTCTACAGTCATTGACGTCATGGGGGGGGAGTCTACAGTCATTGACGTCATGGGGGAGTCTACAGTCACTGACGTCTTGAGGGGAGTCTACAGTCACTGTCGTCATGGGGGAGTCTACAGTCACGAGCCACGTGACTTAAATCATATATAAACTTGTAACATTTTGAAAATTTTCATCAGTCTTGAGTAAATCTCAGATAGTTCCTTGTGAGATCCTTATCGTCAACAAAAATGGAGCAAAAACATCAAGACGTGATTAAGTCAAACTACTCAACATTGGTGAAGAAAATGATGGCTGTTCCTGTTGCGGGGCATCTTTACGCCTCAAACATAATTACTGATGAAATGAGACAACAGATAGACGCTGAGAAAACCAGCTACGACAAAAACAGGAAATTAATCAGCATCATTTTACGTCGAGGTTCGAGAGCTTTTATGGGGCTTAGAACGGCATTGATGAAAGCCAATCAAGCTGACTTATCCCGACTCCTGATGAATAAGGATGATGACACAAAGTCTGAGTACGAAAAGAAGCTGGCCATGGCAAGATCATTAGTCGTCAGTACTAAAGAAAGAGGAGGTTCCAGAAACGAATCAAAGAAAGCTGATCATCAACAGTCTCAGGAGCCAAGATGTAGGATAAGTTTGGACGATTTTAATGACCTATTCCTCACCGTCATGCCTTTCAAGGGGGAGATTTACGTTCACATCCGTCACCTCGCAGAATCACATGGTCGTTTCATTGCCACCAAGAAGGGAGTTACCTTTCCTTTAGCCCGTTGGTTAAAGTTTGAATCTCTTTTACCAGATATTCAAGACTACATAGACAATACTGGAAAAGAGGATGAAGAAGCACAGTGGCATGTTGGTGGAGGTGTGTTCGTTTCATTATCACCAGGCTATCCGACAGTGGACATAAGACACTTCTGGAAGCCAGACAATGTTCAAGAACCTATACCTACAAGGAAAGGTGTTACTCTGAACAAAAACAAATTTGTCAGACTTAGAGATGTCATCGAGGAGATGCATGAATATGTTCCAGAACTAAAGGACGTTGAACTTTGCATGCTCAGTGAGTCTCATCAAAATCAACTTGGAATGTTAAGCTGTCCCGAATGTACCCCCTTTGGCTACGACCCACAAGACAACATGTCAATGGAATGTAACGCGGGTGATTTACCAGACATAGAAACCATCGAGAGTGATCTTGAATGACAATGAACACTAAAATAATTAATGATATGAATGTAACATATATATATATATATATATATATATATATATATATATATATATATATATATATATATATGGTTGTGCCATTTAGGAGACCGCTCATATTTATATATTGGCATTAAGTAGCCTCGTAGAATAAGTGGACCAAAACCGGTCGCCTTAACATTTTGACCCTCTCTGAACAGAAAATTAATGACTTTTTAATATTAAATTGACAATAGTTAATTTTAGTTTAGTATATTTTTGTCCCTTAAATACAAAAAATATGCCAAAATTTTATGATTACAGAAATTTTTAAATTTAAATTTCAAGCAACGTATATATTGGTATTATTATATATCGTCATTATGTAGACCAGCTAAAACTTGCAAAATTAAATAGGATCTGCTATATATGTCTTATTTCTCCTAGTATTTAGTTTTAGATATTGTTCTCCCACTAATTTTGGGTATGTACAATTTGCTAAATAGAATAAAACTTTTTACGAGAAAATGAGCTTTAGAGTTTCGTGTTCATCAACTTCAAGGTTTTCGTGCGCAATGCCTTCCGAAAATTTTCGGAAATCCTCGGTATCCTTTACGACCTTCGGAGAAATAGGAGTCAGACAAAATTTTGGTAAGTAATAACAAATTATGATTTTTTAAAAATACTTATTCATGATAGATTGACTATATATTATGCACCCAATATCTTGCGGTTAACGTCTGCTATTTATTCATTGATAAAGACTTACGTATACTTATTAGCATGGAGGAAATTCGAATTGTAGTTTACCAACAGCGTGGTTTCAACAGATCGTTTGTTTGTTTTGAACATATTTTATTGACATAAGCAAATGGATCGGAAACAAGTTCTTACAACTTACTTGTTCCTAACAATTGATTACATGTACTTGAACAAAATAATTGTAATCTCTGCTTACGTGGGCTGACTAAATATATACTGAATAGCATAATATTAGGCTGGTGGTATCGTTCTTGCGGAGATAAATTAAATATTCGATAAGTTACCTGAAATACTAACTCTAATTTCCTATTATATGTGGGGTAGGGTTGGGTTGGAAATAGGAGTAAGGTGTTTCTAGGTTCAAACTTTTTTCACAGCCTAATCCAACCAGCCTTTCCTGAACAATTTTAATAGTAAAAGATTAACTGGGGGAGGGGAGGAGCCCCCCCCCTTCAACCACGATACCACATCTCTGATGTCTATGGCAGCGGATACATACATGCATATATGTACATACAAATTTATGTATCTGACAGCATCCCCCTTAGATTTCTTGTACATAAAACATAAAGTTGGTTTGGACAAGCCCAATATAGCAACAATTTTGAAATATCTTCAAAGATAAAGAGGAATTAAGGGCTACAAACTGCTAAAAAATTCAAAGGGACCAGATTAATATTTTTGATCGGGTTAGAAGTGGGGTTTGGGTGCAGGATGTGTGGAAATATTTTGTGTATATTCCATATAGGCAAAAAGGCTGTAGGCTACACATCATTTTTTTTTAAGGATAGAAATTTGGTTGAAAAGGGGGGAGAAAAGTTGATGATAAGTGTTATCTATTAATTTCATTTTGTTGCAAATGCCAAAAAAAAGAAGCATTTTTGACAATGCGCATTTTTGTACCCATACTTACAGTCTAACTTTCTGTTTAATGACAAAAATATTCCTATAACTGGAAATAAAAATTAAGCCAAAATTCAAGTATTATATTAGGTCTGCATCAGCCTCCTTGCTTACCCATTATTTGCGCCTCAAGTTAAATCTGTGACATCACACTAGCCGACACATTACATGTAGTAGAAAGTAATAATATTATTATACGCCAATGATATTCTAAACAATCTATTACACTGTACCTTTTGGCATGAATGGAGGATTAATTAACAGGTTATATCAGAGATGAGCATATCAGTTAATAGTTATATGTATTACACTTTCCATGATTGAGTAACAAAAGATATACTGTATAATTCTTGCAATATTTTTTCTATAATAGTAGACTCAGTTAACATCAACACCGTTAAAGAGTTTCGATCTACAGCACTGCTGATTTAATTTCTCAGATTTTATTAGAGATCTACAAGTACCTTTACAGGTCACTTAATTAGTACATGTATCTCAAATTTAATTGGGCAAATGAGAATTTTGTCTTTAACAACTTAAATGACTCAAAAATGTATTGCATGTTCAACATGTTCAGGGTAAATTATTTCCTTTATCATGAATTTATTCTAATTTTATGGGAGAATATATTTATAATTATGAAAGTACTAGTAAATCAGTCTACACATAAGTAAGAATTATACCTCAACTATTTGAATTACTTTGCAGAATTTATTGCATTGTCTTTATTACTTAACAATCTTGTAAAACTTTATTTCATGGCCGTAGGAACGGGGGGGTGCCCCCAATAATTTTGCCGAAATATAGAATACTAAAGAAAACATAGCTACTATATGCTTGTGCCCCCTCAATAAAAACGCCTGATGACCTTTTTTTTTAAGCTTGTCAAGGGATTTTTGGTTGTTAGTGCCCCCCAAAGGAAATGCATGGCTGTCCCCCCTCCCCCAAACTGAAATTGCTTCTTACGGGCCTGTATTTATTGATTTTTTTTTTAAATGTTTCATTTATTTATAAACCTATTAAGTGTTTCATTTTGAAAAGAAATATTAGAAGATAATCATAGTTTCAGAAAGAAGTTGAAATTAAATAATAAAAGAGACCCTAAGAAAAATTGCTTGTTGTCATTGTCAAGCTTGAACAAGTCCTGATTCATATGAAACAGATCCTGATCAATTTAAGCATTTTTTTTTTTTTAACATATAATGAAAAAAATACTGTTTATCTTATGCAGTTGCCATGGAGAAATTAACTTGCTTATACTCTCAATTTAGTTATAAAACCATATAACAAGCAATAATTTTTTTATTTTAATAAAATTGTTATGCAGAGTCTACATATATTACTTGTATATCTACATATGTAGATTAGAAACTTTCGGTCGGGTTCAGTTTAATTTTGATCGGGTTAGTTAATACATTGTTGAGTCTTTTGATCAGCATGGACATGGTTTGATGGTATGATAATATTTTTACAGTTTCAATTTCTAAACTTTCCAGGAAAGTTTAATTCCTGCATTTTGTACAATGGCTATATATATGCCGTATATTTTCCCATGAATTTTTTTTTTTGAAATTATATTTTTAAAATTCTGACAAGATTTCTGAGGAAATTTTTAACTGCCTAGGGTGAGATTTATGACAGTCTGAGACATTTTAAACCAAGTCTCTGAATAAATTAGATTTTGTTGACTTGTTTGCATTTATGCATTTATTTTTATTATAGTGTGTTCGGTACCACATAACATGCGAGAATACGTTCTCCAGTATGTTGGAGAGAAGATTAGCAAGAAAAAATCGCGTGAGAAAATGAGAAGCTGACAGAAAAAGATTTTTTTCATTATCGAAAGGGACATGTACAACATCCATAATGGTAAGAAAAGATAATTATTTATAGTCATATTTATTTGTTTCTATAATGTTTCTTTCGATAACTTTTCACTCATATTGAAAAGCCAGCACTTGAGAACCTCTGTACTCAGGACCCTTGAGCAATGAGTAATTTTGTTCATGCCAGCACCTACTGCAACATGGGACCTCAGTTTCATTTGAACACTGGTCTTCACATCCTGCAGTGGGATTCGAACCTGTGATGTTAGGATCAACTCCTTTATCTGTGACTCTAAAGCAAACACTTAAACCACTGCGCCATGCAAGCAGCTAGTCATACATGTATACCTTATGATGTGAGCTAGCATTATGAAAATTACATGTGCTGTAGATCATAGGTTGCTACATAGTTCTTTGTATGTTGCGCTAAAAAAATATGGTGTTCATCAATGATTCATTTTGGTGTGCATCCTGCATAAATTATGCACAAATTTTGCTCAGGACGCATTATTTTAATAAATGTGCATCCCAATGGATGCAATAAATTTATAGAAGAGCGTGTATTATTTGGTATAATCCGGTTTTAAACTTGACCGATTGCATCATATCCATGTGCTAAGCGATATGCATGAACAATTTTAGCAGGTATGTATAAGGTTGCCAACAACAGGTCAGATTTCACAATTGCAGCCAATTAACCAGCAATTATCAGAAAATATTTGAAAGTTAGATAACATAGTTCGATTATCACTGATTATGTCTATACTGTGGAACATTTCTGAAGCGAATACTATACCTTTGTAAAAGCTATACACGTAACCTGTATCATTTTTTTTGTTGTTTTTTCCTTACAAGCTAAGAAGTTTAAAATTTAATCATTTTTATTTCTGACTGTTTTTTCATTTCTTCTTAAAAATTCTTTATTTCATTCTGCTTCTGTGCATTTTATGACTGATACATTACAATGTGTGAGATCGTATGTACGATCTAAAAATAGAACCAAAGTGCACAGTTGACAATATATTATATTTATGACACAAAATCATGTACTCTTACTTGGACAATTGATAGTAAAATTATAAAACTACTCACAGCAACAATAAAGCATTTGCTCTTTCGTGAAATAACTTTTTATATTTCACCAGAATTTCCTCTGTAATATCTAATATATGACCCTTGGATTTGGATGCTCCGATTTTGTCATGGGACTCATTGTTGTCATTAAGGGGGGTCCTTTGGACCCATGATAACCATTTTCAAAATGAATCACTGGTTCATAGGTCTGGGACTAAAAGTTTATGAGGACATACTATCTTAATATCACCCACCCATTATCATCTGATCAGCATGATCAGTACTATTAAGCAGGAAAACAAATATTTGAAGAGACATACTGTAAAAATAATTTTGTAAAATCTTGGAAAACATGTAATTTTGGAAGTAGATTGACATATAAGTATATAATTTTTTTTGTGGATAACAGTTGATTAGGGTAGGTGGTCACTGGTGTGATTTTGACCCATTATCTGATTATTTTTCATACTTAAGTTTTGTTCGAGTATATGTCAGTGTTTGTTATGCTACAACGTTTTCTGGGTAATTTTCTCTATGGAATACCTTTTTACAAGATTTCTTCTTTTTTTTGGAATTATTAATTGAATTTGCGAAATACATGTGTTCGACTTACAAGATATATGTGTTGGATTATTTCTAGTTAGAACAATCTAACTTTGTCTCGGAACAAGCCCTCGATCACCACAGTTAGAATATGTCCCATATACTAGCAATGTAGCATATTGGAAAGGATCCGCTCAGAAATGAATACAAAAAAAATTGCACTGAAAATAACTATCAAATTAATCATAACAAACCTTTTTGAGATTTTATATGCCTTTTAACCTAAAAAATAATCCATAGAAATAAGAAAATTCAACTCATTTTCTCAACCTTTTTTCCTCGCTTCAAAGGACAAGGTATGGTAACGGCTGAGTCTGGCCCCTTATTTGATGTAAAAATCAGAACATAGTTAAAATAGTGATAGTTTGTAGTTAAGAACTAAAAATGATGCTTGTTTTAAAACCAGCACTAATTTTGATTCAACGCTTACGCGGAGACCAGAAGAAGGTGCAGAAGTAGGACAGTTTCCTGAATTTTCTCAATTCTATTGGAATATCCTCAAATTTGAGATACTTTTCACTTTGGGAAACATAGAACACAAGCTTGCCTATCTGAGATTTTTATACATAAGATGCATCTGATACTAGTATATGAAATATATAAATTTAGTAGATAGGCAAGCTTGTGCTCTATGTTTTCTGAAACAAAATGTGCTGTAAAATCGATGAAAATTTGCATAAAATGAGAAAATTCGGAAATTGACATATTTTCTGATCTTCCTGTGACCTGTATGTATCACATAACTTAGAACCAATACTCATTTTCTGGCAGGGGTGACAACAGGTTTCTATTGATAAACTGTTGTATCATTCTAAACAACACCCCAAACCAGGGGCCAAAAAGGGGTCTTAGCCTATCTTGTCCTTTACACGCCATGTTGAATTCGGAACTCTCTGGATTGTTCATAGAAAATGCAGTTAGTTCGAGTTATCGAACTTGCTTCAGGGATAGACATTAACTTTCAGATTTACTTGCCCTTCGGGCAAGTGATCTCAAACTTTGAGTTGTCCGAATGCAAAACTTTGTTGCCCAAAATAAGGAAAGAACTTCAGAAGAATTTTTTTATCACTGTAAATGTTATGACAAGAAAAAATGTGACCAAATACACTACTGTCAATTTGGCAAGGTGAGGTAAATTTGTACATAAATGTATATACCACTGTCCTTGTAAATATAACCTGTTAACACACACTGCCATATAGCAATAACCCTCCGTCTAATAAAATTCATATTTTTAAAAATTATTTTCGGTAGGATTCTTTTGTGAATCGTGATTTGCTGAGATAACTGTGAAACAACGCTGAAGGAAGATAGTTGCTACATCGATCTTTACTTTGATCAGGATACATCGTGTTACATGTACTGTACTTATATTCTGTGAGTGAATAAATAATCTAATTTCCAAATAAGTTAACATTTTAGATGTTGGACGAACAGCACATTTACCAGGGAAAAAAACACAATAACGAACCTGATTTTCAAATGAAAGGTATAATCCAGAAATTGCGACAAGGAATTCCGAATGCAAAAACAATGTCAGTCAGTCAGTACCTGGCAGAAATCAAGTCTTCAATTTATTGTTTTTTTACATAAATTAATGTGAACTAAATAAATATGTACATTTCTATGAGAAAAAAATCACTTGCCCGATTGGACAGGTACGTCGTAAGATCACTTGCCCGAACTGAGAATTTACTTGTCCCGGGCAATCGGACAACCGTTAATGTCGATCCCTGTGCTTATTTTGATAAATTGCCAATACACGGAACGAATTCTATCTTTAAACCAGGTCCGTAGGACAATATCATTTTAATGATTAGAACATTCTAATCTAGGTTATTGAGATCACAGCAACAATATATAAACAAAATTAAAATTGAAATTATAATTCGCATCATCTCTTTTAAAAAAGAAAATATAAATTCATATTATTTTGTAAAACCAAAAAATATTGGTTTAAATATACTGACAATAAAAAAAAGAGACAATAATTCTCAAATTATGAATAACTTTAAAACATTGAGTGCACCTACAAGCACAGATTCCATGATTTGTAATATAATGCACACACAGGCATGTAAACTGAAGTAAATCAAACATACAGATTTTCACTGATTAGATAATATACATGTAGAACTAGTTTCAACTAAATACTCATACAAATACAAAAGAAAAAAATAATTATTTTCCAAGCAAATAAAATGAAGAAATTAAAAGTTTTTGATTTTATTTTGATTTAAAAATTATCAAAGAATATTTAAGTCGAACTTCATGAAAAAGAAAAGCTGAAATCAAAATATTTGTATCAATTTCAATGTCATGCTTGATAAATTTTGGAAATACTGACAGATACACCCTTGCATAACACATATACATGACTAAAATTTTAAATTTTAGAGACTTTGGACATGCATGGTGTCAAACTTTGTCTCATTTTAATATAGAATGAAAAAATTATAACCGATTAAAGGTATTGTGATCTGTATTGTAGCATAAATATTGTGATACCTAATATAGTATATTAGATATAGAATAGTAGACGAAAGTGTATTATCCCAGCCCTTTATATTTGCAGTGCAGTATAAAACAGTTCAATTATATAATAATGAAGTCAAGAGAATATGGACATGATTATATGTAAATTAATAGATTTTGTTTTCATTTTTGCAGGTGTGTCTGATGGAATTTGTCATTTCATTAATAAATAATGCTGATAAAGATGCAAACTTAGCAATTGTGCCTAAAAAGTGACAGCTTTGACAAGGAAATATATCCATATATAACAGTTACTGGTACTGTATGAATGCAGTGAAAGGATCCAGATGAACAGATGAAGAGATTAAGTACAATGTACATCAATTACTTGGATGAAGAGAATCTGCAACATGGGGTAAGGTATATTTGCTGCTTTATTAGTTATAAACTGTAAATAAATTGTTAGCAGAAAATAGACACAAAAGCTTTAATTAAAGCAAATCAGGGGTAAATACTAACTTTTAAAGCATGCAGATACTCAGTGATAGACTGATAGTTTGATAGTATCATAAAAACCAAAAGAACTTCAGTGACTTTGAATTCCTGATAGCCCTAGCTGTTAATGAACTAGTTGCCCATTACAGCCTTTGGCTGCTTATGGAGTCATGACGTGATTGTTGGGGGACGAGGAAATGAATTCCCAGTGGAGATGGGTATGAAGGTTAAAAATAGGGCCACAAAGAACCAGGTTATGGTGAGGCAGACTTGCCTCCTTACATTTTATTGTAATTATTTAACCATTCACTCTTTATGAGTGAAATAATTCTCGAATGGGACATAAAACAACACTCAATCAATCGGTCACACTTCACTCGCTGTTCACAGCACTTGTTGCTCTGTACTGGGCACTACTGGCTCACTTAAGCAGGTTAAGTTCAGTTTGGTGTTTACTAGTCATTCCAATGATAAATAAGTCTGAAGAACATTTTTTGTGAGTCGACTGCACAGCAGTGCAACACCTAGGGATCAATTTACTTGGCATCTGTCTGTCTGTCCATCTGTCACACCTTATATCTCAAGAATTGTAAGAGGTTTAATTGTTTTTGATATTTGGTTAATATTTTGCTTGGCACTGTGACTTTTTTTAAATACCATGGTTGCCAATCTTGTGACCCTTGAACTTACCTTTGACCTACTTATAAAAAAGTTTAAAGTGCCAATATTCAGCATATTTTTGATAATTTAAAAGAGGTAAGTCTATGCTATTAATAGCATGTGCACAATTTATCATAAATTATAATGAAAAATACCAGCATTATAGTTCACTTGACTTTGACCTTTGTTTTACTTTTCAAAAAATATTTTGAATGGTTAATTTAACTTAAATGTTTTGATTTTCTAGAAGTAGTGTTTTGATATTTAGCATTGATGAGCTCATGACACTCTACTTTGAAACTTTTTGATATCCAGTTATCACACAAACTAAAACTTAAATCCTATGAAAACAAATCGGGATCAGTATACCACAATGGGTGGTAATGTAGACTGACAATTGCAGTAAAGACAGCCTGAAATCTCTTTAGAAAAAAACTGTTGAAAAGATTATTGACCATTATATGGTGACGTCTCTATTTTAGTGAAAAATTCTTAAACAGGATGTAAAACGACATACAATTAAACAATCAATCCAACTACTGAGTGAGCTTTCTAGCTTGTGAACTACCAATTATGTCCAATTGGAAGTAATATTTGAATGTTTTAAAATGTGATTGTACATTGTAGGAAATAATGTTCCTATAGAAAAGTCAAAGAATGTATACATGTGAGATTCTGAAGTAGCCGTACATGATGAGTAGGAATTTGAAGTGAATTATGGGAAAAGGTATGTAATCCATTAGTTTGCTTTAAAGTTAGTGATTTTAAATCTGAACACACTGTGTAAAAGGAATTTTTCCGCCATATTCCTTTATTCACGCTATATTGTAGGGTCCCTATATAAGCCACTCACTTAGTCACTGTTCAGTGTAATCTGTTGTCACCTGTCTGTATAGACAGACTGACGTATGCTACATAGCTCTGGGTAGCGACAAAAAATTACTGCGTACTTCTTTCACAGCAGGAGAGAAAGATGCCAATGAAACTTACAACAGTCGCACAGGTCAGTGCAGTATACAAACATACACAAGTACACGTAACTGCAATAAAATAAATAAACAAAGGCAATGCAAGATAACCAGCATGAGCATGTGTCACCATTCCACTCCGATACCTGTGACAATAAAGCAGTCAGGTGTAACAAATGCGAAGAGTATACCCTAGTGCTGATATAGTAGATGATATATAATCGAATATGGTGTATGCCTATTTATGAGATGTGTTCAGCTTTAATTGATTGCTTTTCTCTGACTATATGTACCATAGGTCATAGTCATTTATGGTATATACAGTGGCGCCATGTTTATCCGAACACTTCACCTTCCAGATGCTATTTTTCGGGAATAGATTTTTTCCATGTCATTCTGTCTCATTAATCTAGAAATTCGTGTTCCACATCCGAACGGTCGATTTCTACTACAAAATGTAATAGTTCATTGAAAAATGACTCTTTTATCCGGATGGTAATTTTTCAAGAAATGACTTTTTCATACTTATCTTCAGGGGTTGAAATTTTCCTGGAAATCCCACTAGCCCAGGGGCTACTGATTAGGAAAAAATTACTAGCCCAAATAAGAAACAGTTCAAAATTAATCAATATTATTTTAACAAACTTAAGCCAAAGAGGTGTCCGGATAAACAAGGCACCACTGTATATATCTATAATACATGCGTATAAATGTACTTGCTATTAACAGTGAGTACAGTAAAATTTTCCCATTAAGTATATTAATTTTTTCTATGTGGTTTACTTATGCCCAATTATCAGCAGTTTCCATAATTGCCATATTTTAGTATAAGAACTAGGTTGCTATTAATAGCAGACAAAAGGTAAATATAAAAAATCTAAGTGCAAGGTACTTTATCACTGATTGAATGTTAATTAGGGCCTGCATGAAATGTTAAAGCTATATAGGATTCACATTGTCCATCTTTATGTCTTTCAGCCAGCAATTAACACTTCAGTTGTGACAAAATAAACAAGTTTTAGTTTATGCAGTGTAATACTATACACGGTATTGATGCATACAGTAAATGAGATCATTAGAATGGTGTATTTATATACTGTATATACTTGATATCAACAATTTTTCTCAGTGGTCTACTTTATGCCCAATTATAAGTGGTCCCCTCAATGGCCATTTTTAAGTATAACATATGTATAAGTACAGGTTGCTATAGCAGACAAAGGTAAATATAAAAATCTAAGTGCAAGGTACTTTATCACTGATTGAATGTTAATTAGGGCCTGCATGAAATGATAAAGCTCTATAGGATTCACATATTGTCCATCTTTATGTCTTTCAGTCCAGCAACACTTCAGTTGTGACACAATAAATAAGTTTTAATTTGATATGCAGTATAATATAATACAGGGTATTGATGCATATAGTGAATAAGATCATTAGAATGGTATATTTATATACTGTATATACTTGATATCAAGGGTTAATTCAATTTACTCAATTTTTCTCACTGGTCTACTTTATGCCTAATTATAAGTGGTCTCCTCAATGGCCATATTTAAGTACATGTATAAGTACAGGTTACCATTGAAGACAAAAGGCATATACAAAACTCTAAAGACCATGATACTTTGATACTGACTGAATGCTGATCTGGACCCTTGAAAAGCACTTAGTCTTAGTCTTATTTATATGACAATGTGTGGTTTGATATAAGTTAACTGAATTACCTAGGTAACCATGGTAACATATTTCTATCTGTTTTTGGATGTTTTTGCATAAGCAAGGGCTTGGGTCATGCATAAACTTTTCACATTTTTCAACTTCTTCTCAAGAACTACTGGACAAGTTTAAACCAAACTTGTCACAAAGTATCTTTAGAATAAGGATGGCAATGATTAACTGGTTTATTAACTATTAAGAAAGATCATAACCAGTTAAAATTTTCATAACCAGTTTTGTAACCAGTTACAATTTACATACTAACCACTTAGTAGATACAGTAGCTGCAACGTTATTGTTGAAAACTTACGCGAACGATCACGTTAGACGAACGATTCCGCACGATTCACACACGATAAAATCTGTTACACGAACGATCCTTCACACACACGATTCTACACGTTACACGATCTTACATGATTGCTAACGGAAACGCACGATTCTTCACGCAAAATAGTTCAAATTCTTTAGGAATGGATATTTTCAAAAAGAAATAAGGCTTAATACTTATTTTAGATTTCAAATAATGATTGATTTTATTTCATCAACTTTGAAAAATGAAAAAAAAAATAGAAATGGATATTTCTGGAACTAAATACATGTAAGATTTATGAATTATTTTAGATTACAAAAAATTATTTATGTAATTCTCTGACTTTAGAAAACTGATTTTTTTTTTTTCGTTCTATCAGAAGATGTACATTAAGGTGGACCGTGAGTTTTGATTGAATTGGATTTCATAATATGCAGAAAGGGACAAGTTTGAAAAAAATGGCATGAAAATGAATTAAATTATAAGTTATATCCACATTTCAATTTGTGAATCTCTAAAATCAACAATTATTTTACAAATCATTTATTTGCAGAAATTAAAAAAAATAATCAAAAGTAACCTCCAGAGATAACACTGATAAACGAAACCCTGAGAATCATGTCGTGTAAATGTACATTCACAGACTAAATACTTATGTAAGCATTGAGAATTATTTATTTGTAAAAATGTTTATTTTTGATCTATTGATTTTAAAAATATCTTGACCATAATTAGCAATAAATATAATTAACATCAGAGAAAAAAATCAAACATCTAAGTACGGTTTATCAGAAAAAAAAATCATGCTATTTGACGAGAACACAATATTGTAGGACTTACTATATTGTTTATTTCCAAGCGATAATTAGTTCATTCTGTTTTTAGTTATGTAAATCGCGCTTCATTTCTTTTTAATTTGGATTAAAAAAAAAAAACAGACAAGTGAAATGCTTGTATAACAAAAACATTCCAATAAAAACTTACAAAACAAAATTTACACGTTTCTTAACGCACGATCACGCACCATTAAACCGCAAACTATTGAGTCTGATACACGCACGATCTTGCACGTTACACGAATGATCACGCATGTTACACGAACGATTTTACACGATTCTTTTGTCAACAATAACGTTGCAGCCACTGTAGTAGGGATGGCAATCGAATACAGAATTGCAAATCGGTTAACGGTAAACCGCAAAATGTTCCGACCAATTAACCGGTTAATCATATCAAACTACACAATGTCATTTTCTTGACTTTTTTCAAGTACCTCTATTCCTATGCACAAGAAGTCTTTAAAAAAGTTGTTAGAGGTCAAAATCATTCTATTTGTCTTTCTTGGTCATAAAACTACGCGCATATTTTTTTTTCAATAGTTAAAAAAAAATTCAGAAAACCATGAACCATGCCTGAGATATCGTGGATAATTTTCATGAGCGGATGTCACACAAGTTCATTCTTCATTATCACCATAATCAAAACTAAGTCTAAATTGCATCACTTAAGGGGAAGAAGGACCTTGAGCTGAAAAAATACTTGTCATTCAATTTTTTTCATATTTTGTATATTTCTAATTTAGTATGTCCCACATATCTTAAAGCAGTTATATCAGTAGGTTTCTGACCTTATTTTAGAGATATTGATTGACAAATACTATGCCCTGCAGTATCTAAGTGGAGTTTTAATTCTTCATGTTTCCGGGCCCAATACTCTGTCCATAATGGGATTTTTTAAGCATATATAAAAAATATGCAAGTGGACATGTATCTCTTAAAATATTTCAGAGTATGAATAGGTTTAAAATTCGAAAAAGCAATTTTATCCTGTCACACCGCATCTGGATAGGGAAAATTACATACTTTTTGAGACAACTTAAGCAACAAAAAAAACATAATTTACAAAAAATTCTATCATTCAATATTTTAAAATTTATGTTGAAATGCAAGTCCTTCAAATTATTGGTTAACTGTAAAAATTATGAATGGTGAAGCTGACCTCAATATTGCACAGGACATCATTACAGAGGACATAAGCATGACAAAAATGTGTCATATTTACATTTCTTGAGTACGGGAAAAACCAACTTCACACGTAAGCTAAATAAGCGAAATAAGATATGCCTACATAAGATTTCTGTCATCAGCCATGCAATCATAATTTTTATGTTCCCCGTTTCTCAAAATTTTTCATCACATACTGATTATGACCTGATCTTACAAAATAATACCGCCCCTGTATTCACCGAGTATGATCTTGCTGTACTAATAGATCGTGTATGACGTCACCGACTTGTTGGACTTGCAGTTTAGGGAAACAGAGGAGTGGATCAATCTTTTTCATAATTTGTTAATGTTTATATGAATGTTAAAACTTTTTACTTTTTTATATAAGATGGCAATTTAAGTTAAAAAAAAATGTCAAAAAATTATACAAGAACTGACGCTTTACACGTTTTGGACTTATATAAACGGAGATTATGATGTAGATAAAAAGAGTCATGTGACCATGTGTCCTTCATCCCCTTAATTTACAATGTTTGTATTATAATCTAATGTGATAGATAACTGCAAAAGATACACACACACCAATTCATGGTACTCAACAGTGATTATTATCATTAAAGAATTAGAGGACAGTTGGGGTAACGACATGATGTTTTAACAGTATACATATCTCAGACTGACCAATTACCCCGCAATTTTAATCTGGAGAGCCATAATGACCTCCCAATCAGCCTAAATAAATAAATGAAAACGCTAAATTAAATGTTTAGGTAGGAATTTCTATTTTGAAAATGAATTTTACATTGCCTTCAGTTTTACATATATTATAATTTTTTTACGACTAATCGATTGCAGATTTTCTAATCGATTGCCATCGTTCCAACCGAGTAATCAGTTAACCGGTTAGAAATTGCCATCC